CGATTATCAAACTTACCACACACACCTCACATACCCTGTGGAAAGGAACATCAAGCTTAACCGTCTAATATGACAGAAACATTCTGATTGAAGACTATGTATCTCTTCCAGAGAAATTAATATTTTGGAAAGAAATCTATAATGTGTGGAGCAGCTTTAATGCAATGATCCTATAGTTAGATGAAGATCTTAGGAGATTGTACCTCTTGGCCATAGTTTCAAATCACTTTTGTAATTATGCCAATTTTTTTTCTTTCTACAGCAAAAACATATATACATAAAATATACGTGCAGCCAGATTTGTACATAACTCCTTTGTTCCTCACATAACTTTATTGATGTTGCTTCAGTCAGAGTGGTTATTTAAATCATGTGTAGTCTGATCTATTTCTGAATTCTGAGGAGGCTTTTCAAGAAGTCTGTCTTTTCTGGGTACTATAGGTTGGCTACAAGTAGTGCTCAACTTACAATCACAATTCGGATCAGAATTTCCATTGGTGGGCAAGGGTGAGTAAATTACCTTGATTTGATGGCCTTTTTAGCCACTGAGGTTAAGCGAATCCCTGCAGTTGTTAAGTGAATCATGCAGTTCTTAAACAAATCCGGCTGGGAAGGTCGGCAATGGAGACCACATAATCTAAGGTTCTGCAACTACCATAAATACATGCCTGTTGCCAAGCACCCGAATTTTGATCACAGGAGTGTGGGGCTGCCATGATAGTCATAAGTGTGAGAACTGGTCATAAGTCATTTTTTCAATGCTGTTGTAACTGAACAGTCACTAAACAAATGGTTGTAATTTGAGGAATACCTGTATTGGCTGCACCGTTATATGGGTGAATGAATATCCATCATCATATTAGCAAAAAGGGAGTACAGTGGTACCTGAGTACTCAATTAATTCAAAACTCGTTAAATTTGGTACTTGATGCATTTTGACATGAAAATGTTGTCCTATATTTGTTTGTTTGGTATTTGTGATAGGAAGAGGGGGACAGATGCATAGAATGGACAGGATGTTGGCCATGCTGGGAAGTTCACTGCAAAAGGAAGTGGGGGATAGCTGCAGAGGGTGGACAGGAAGTCTGCCATGCTGAGAACGTCTCTAACCTAGGAAAAGGGGAAAACAGGAAGTCCTTACTGGCTGAAACAAAGGGTCATGTGGTAAGTCATGTGGTTTGTTTGGTACTCATCATTTTTAATACTCATTGTGCCTCCCAGAACCAATTAACAATGGGTACTGAGGTATCACTGTATTAGAAATATTTGAAAGCCAAGAAAGCAAAGGTGGAACAGATAATAAACAATACTGAAGCAAAATTGTAAAACTTTTTTGTTAGAACATATTTTAATTAATGCTTCCATTGAGAAATTATTTGAGTGTGTCTAGTTTTTTCCTAGGTCATACCTTGAAGAACACTATTTGCATCAAACCTGACCTATTCCCCCCTCATTGTTTAGGCTCATTTTAAAATATGACTGGGAGAAAAGAAGATAAATGGAAAGAAATCTCTATGTGAAGAAGGTGGAATTCCTCCCACCTTTTCCTCATGGGATATAAAAAAAAACTCAGATCATCACTCTCTGATCATCTGCAGTGGGAAAACTGTTGAATCCTGACTGATACATCAGAAAATATTTGAACAATACTTTGTAAGAAAAAATGCTAACTGTGCATCCCTCTCTTGTAACTGAACTGGTATTAAATCAAGAAGTAGTTGTGAATTAGCATCACAAATGCACACACATACTGTAGAAACTGCCAAACAGAAACCAAACCAAAAATTCCCAATGGGGATGGAAGGTTAAAAAAAGCAAAAGATGGTTATATAAGCACAGGATCAGGGATTATATTTACATCTTTCTACTGCATTCCATAATTCTATCTATCTATCCATCTCCAGTGAAATGACATAGTTGGCTTGAATTAAAAAGGCCACATGCAGCCATTTATGTTTTAAGAAGTAACCAATTGCACCTCTAAACACCCCACATCTGTATAGTATTGTTCTGAATTTCCTGGTAAAATTTTTTTTAAGCATCTCCAAAATCCTACCCCAAAAACCCACCAAGCCTAGCTATCCTTCCTTTATAAACCCCAATATGACAGTCCTGATTAACCTATTTATAAAGCACAATCTTTATAGGCTTTGTTCCAATCTCTCTCTGTACTGAGATGTTGCACAGGGATGACCAGGAATGGTCCTTCCCAAGCCCAGAATGACTTTTTCAGTGGGGCATACCTGACACCCAGTAGATGTTCATTTCAGAGAAAACACATTTTTATTTCCTCATACCTTTCCATATGTTGGCAGTTTAATATTTCCACATTAACTTGGCTATATTACAACAGATTCTTTTCACATTTTATTATTTCTATTTTACTTTCTGTGCTTAGGAAGAATCACAACATGCCATTTTTACTTTAGTATTTTATACAGTGAATTTAAAAACCTTTTTAGGTCACCATAACAAGAGCACTGTAACTTTTTAAAAAGGCAAAAATAGATACAACAACATAAACAGGGTGAACTTGTTGAGATGGTCCCGTTATTACTGACATATCCCCTCTGCCTATTATTTTTCTTTTCTCTATAAAAAGCAAAAGTAATGACTTTTTAAGGTTTTTAATATTTTAAAGAATTATTTATAATGGTTTTTGGTAACAGTTGTTTTATAGTTATTGTTTTACTGGATTGTTGTACAACACCTAGAGTCACTTTTCCTGAGATGGGTGGCCATATTAATTTGTGAAATAATAAAAAATAAATACACCTGAAAATCAAGATTTGGAAAGATTGCAAGGAAGCAATTACTTCAGCTGCTTCAAATAGAGAAGGGCTACTTCTTTGTATAATCCACCATTAGCTTATGTAGTTCATAGACACAATATATAGTATTAGCCACAAATCAAAAAGTCTAATATAAATAGCAACTAGGTACCTTAATGAAAAATGATATATCACTGGGCATTATTAGCTATAACAACTGAAACTGAAACATTTTTGATCAACCTGATCTATTAATTAGTGTCAGAAGCTAACTAGAGATGTCTAACTAATGGGGCTAGTCAGTTCACATGGAAATTGATGGTTAGCTCATGGTTTGCAGAATGATATTTAAATTCTCAAGCAAATTAATTCAACTCATATTTTATTTACAAATAATATTTATTATAATAATGCATCATTCTCATCTTCAGAAAATATTCCCCAAATTTGATTCTCTCTGCATTCCCAGTTTAAAATAATATATTGTTTAGAGAAAAGACATACAAGACACTCTAGGTTTTGCAAAGCGAATAAGTATTTATTGCTGTAGTTATTCAACATATTTTAAAATATAATCATCATCATCATCCTTATATCATCCTAAGAAAAAATGGTAAAAGTGATACCTGAAGTATTCATCATTCAATATTGTATCTTTTAAAAATGCACTTTTAAAATGCATTAACCATAAAGCAACACTAGTAGACTCTTTCACATGTGAATGTAGCATTCAAGACATTGAACCCACCATAGCCTATTTATTTAGATTAAAGCAATGTTGAACCCTCCTATATTTTCCTTAATAGGAAAGATTTACATAGTGAAAACCAGCCATTGTGTGAAAAAGGTCCTTTTGGCATTGCAAATCACATCATTTATTGGATTTTACTATTACCATAGATTTTTACAAAATGCAATGGATTTATTGGATATGTCTCTTTCCTAGTGGCCAGGTCCTTATGTGTCCTTATTACCACCATAGGTATTTTTTCCTAGGTTTGAGAAATTAAAACCTATATGTGTAGCCTGTACAAATGTTTATTTTTGACATATGTGATTCTTGGTCATTTATGGCAGACTGAATAGACTTGCAAAGTGATATCTTTCCCTTAATTAGCGCCCACATAAAGTCAGATACCCACCCCCATCCCCACCCACTGACTTTTCTATCTTGGGGAAAAAAGAAGAAAATTTCTCTAGTCTAGGCCTTTCCTGTGAACAAACAGGGAAGGGAATGAGATACGGAACTACCCAATGAATCAGTGTAAGATTGTTGTGATATTTGTTGTTCATTGCCTTCCATCTTTCCCCTCTAAGTGTTAAGGCCATGTTGGATTCAAGCCAATGGAAACCATCCAGACAACATTATCTATATACCACCAAATATTTAAGTGTTTGGCTATAATATATTTATAGCTCTAATGTAAGGATGCCATGTAATCCCAAAATTTTGTTTTAATTGGGCTGCAGACTGGATTGAGAGGACAGATGTGTTTTTTATGACTATATTCAGAGACATGGCCATAAATATTCTTTAGTAAGAGAAAGACAAAAGAAGAAGCCTGGAACTGAGCCCTATTCACTCTGTTTTCCTATAATGATTATAATGCTAAAGTCTGTCCCCACAACCTTAAGGGCTAAAACAAATCTTACATTTGAAACTTTACCTTCTAAAAGAAAGCCTGATTTTATTTCAGCCTAATGATACATTTCTAATAATCTCTGGGAGCATTTCACTTGTAGCCTAGTTTGTTAATGAATTTATTTTAATAACTGTTATTCAGTTACTGATTTTCAAAGGCTTGAAGAAAGGTCAGTCATCACAAATAAGACAAATAGAAATGTAAGTGTACAAGGGCTTCCTTTGTTGTGATCAGAAGAGGCCAAAACAGCTGACATTTCTCCTTACTCAGTGCAGAGGGAAGGCCAGAGTTAAAAAAAAGAAAAAAAGAAAATGCAATCAAAACTCTGTTCACTCCTGATGAACCTTGTACAGCTTCCCAGAGGTGACACAGTCTTCCAAGCGAAGGTACAGGCCTGAACCAAAAGGCAACCACAAATGCAGCAATTTAAGGTGCACATTCTAATTAAGCCTAAATGCATTAAGCTAATGGATTAATCAGTTGTAGGCACAGCGATATTGCAATGCCTTTGAGCATCTGCGGTTGGTGGGTGGCAGGAAAGGAACTGGAAGAGAGAAAATGCTGCTGCTTACTTGAAGAGACCTACCTTGGTAAAGCCTTTTCCCTAGGATAGATCCACCTGACCCGGGTTGCTTGTCTGGGATCGGATCAGTCAAACTGGAGGGAGGTTCCTGTCTCTCGACTCATTGAGGCCAAAGTCAAAACATTTGCAAGAAGAAGAAAAAAAACATCGGACTTGGACAGTGTCGCCAGGAGAGAGAGAGGGGGGGGGGATGCAGAAAAAAAATCAAAGGTACTAAACTGAAAACTTACATTCGTGGGCTACTTTCCCTTCAACGCCCCCCTGCCCCCACGCCTGATCCTTGCAAAGCGCAACCCCTGATATGCAATCGATGATTAACTAAGGGCGGGGGGGGAGAGAACCCCGTAGCAGAACCAAACCCAGGGGCCGCTTGCTTTCCTTGCTTCTGATATATACAAACGCAGCCAAAGTGGCGCCATTCTTCCTTCCCAATTTCTTTCTCCCCCCCCCCCTCCACCGCCCTTTTTTGACTTCTCTTAAAACCTGCCCTCCGAAACAAGAGTAACCCCTCCACCTCTACCCCTAAGAGAACCGGGCGGAAAAAGCACCGCAGGATTCCGGTCCCCTTAAGCAGCGCTCGCTGGCTGCCTGGCTGCCTGACTGGCCGCATAAGCTAGCAGGCGTTTGCACTGATAAGTAGGGAGGGAGTTAGGTAAGTATCGCAAATGCCCGATGGGGAACGCGGCAGCAGCGGTGAGCTTCGCATCTCTGCGGGGTCCTGGGAGATTTCAAATGGGATTTCCCCCCCCCCCCCCAGTCGAGCAATTGTAATGATGGAGGGGGCGGGGATATAAAAAGAAACTTTTCCTTAGTTGCAAACATGTGTTTTGGGCATTCAATTCCTTCTCGGTTTCAGTGGCAACGCGTTTCTTGATAAGTGCACCTCTGCGCCCCTCCCATTAAATAAACTCTGGGTCCGGCTTTTTTAGACTTAAACAGGTGAGCGCATTTCTGCTGGAAATAACACGGGTGAGAGATCTTAGAGAGTGGGCCTAAATCACTGACCCGAGCGACTGATCGAGGGTATACCCCGCTCTCCCACCGTAGAGGCAGTTAAAGGAGCGAGTCGAAGGTTTTGCAGAGCGGCTGTCAACTTTTTGGGGAGGGTGGAATGAAAGCGGTTTGGAAATACAGGACACCTCGTGTTAGCCTGTGCTAATCTACCCTTCCCTTTAGTTTCACTGGCGTTGCAAACTGAGCAACTGAACACCCCAACCTCTTGTTTTGGACCCGAATCCGAAAGAGTAGACACTGCTATTTTTTTTACCCTTCCAAGGAAAAAGGAGCTGTCCCGTCTCTCAGCCTTGACGGCGCCTCACCCTAGATCGCGAGAGGAGATCGACTGAAGATGTCACTCTCGCTTCTGAAATAGATTTATTTTAAGTGGGGTGGAAAGGATTTCGTTTCAAATTTGCCGGGCTTATCCGCGGCTGCAATCTTCAGAAGACACCCGCCATCCAAAGACATTAGGGGATAGATGGTTTTAACGTTGCTGCGGTGGTTCGGATCTGGTTCCTTTAATAAACGGATCCACTACGTTTAGAAGGACCACACACTGAATAGAAATATCAGATGTCACTCTGGAGTAAAGCATTAACGCTTTTCGCGGGATGGGACAAAATACCCAGAGACCCTTGTAAGAATTACACCGCCGTTCCTCGAAAGCCCAGCGCAATTTCGCTCCGGAGTGCCTCCGCCTGGCCAATTGTGCACTGAACCCGCCGCCCGTAGAAGCTACTCTGGGCTGTCTCACAGCAATCCCTGCTTAGCCGCTAAACTTCCCGGGTTCAGGGAGAACGCGCGCTTGCGTGCGAGACGGCGCTTCCATTCTTCTTTTTCTCCCTCACTTACTAAAGTAAGGCTGAGGTGTGGAGTCTACGAATTTGTAGGTTAGCCTCATTGAACCCACCGCTGGTCTTGCCATCTGTCTAAAGCAGCTGCCTGAGATCAGCTTATGAAACTGACTTAGGTGTGGCAGTAGGAACTGGCGCTTTCCCGGTCTCACCATATCTAGGGTTCGGATTCAGTCCGGAGACCGTGGGACTCACTCCCCATCAGTTCAGGGGAGTGTTAATGTGAGTAGATTAAATGAATTGAGCTGTGGATCAGGGTCCCACACCTGGAAGGAGAGCTCAGCCAGTTCTAAACATATTTCTTAAGCAGAGAAGGTTACCTTCCAGGAAAAACAGCCTGAATCAAAAGGTTATTTTCAATCCGTCGGGCGGTGCATGTGAGTAAGTCTCCAAGCAGCCCTTCAGGATCGCAGGGGGAGAGCTCAGGCGCAAAAGAACTCCCGGTTGTTTTTGTGCAGACTCTCTTCACTTACTTCACTGGGGACCAAGGTACTGGCTACAAGAGGAGGGAGACTCCAAACTCTAGCTTTATTCCTTATGAGTGCACCTAACAAGGTTAAACCGACTTCTTTGGAAATAACTTGCGTGAACGCCGGAACTTGCGCGTTCAATTCAAGTTGCAAGTCTCAACAGACCCCGGATGGAAAAAAAAATCCCAAAGGGTGGCGGAGGAAATCCCAGGTTTAAAAACAAGGCGTGTTTGGAGCAATAGCCACATAACAACTAAGTTATCATACAAATGTCTCTTGGCTTCCAAAACTTCAGGGATGCACTTGTGAACCAAGGACTCAGCCGAAGCAAATCGCTTTGCAATGATTTCCGGAGGACAGCTCTAGTACCAGTGCGACTCCCCACTGAAATCCGATTCATTCTGGCTGGTCTTTGACTTCCGATACCAAACAGTATGAAAGTTTCATTTAATGGATTTTTGAAAGACCGGGGTTGTAAACGTTTGGGTTATTTTTCTCCTCTCGTATTTGTGTTTCGAATCTGGGACGCTCTCATCTTTTATAATTCTGGAGCGGATTCAGCTTTGACAACTTAAATTACAAAGCACCCAGTAAACTAAACCAACCTGTAAATTCAGGGAAAAGGAGACCCAAACATTTGGAAGTTCCAGGAACCTGATTCATAATAACACCAGGTTAGGGGGGGGGAGTTGGTCCAAATGAGCCCGCATTTCATGAAGAAAGTCTCTCTTAAACCGTTAATGAGTAGGAATAAAAAGGTTGTTGAAAAGGAGGGGGGAGAAGCGCATTTTTATGATTGTCTACATAGTTTATAGCGACCGAGAAGAGCGCTAAGAAAAAGCCTATTGAGAGGCTCCAGGAAACGGAAGGAAGGAAGGAAGGAAGGAAGGAAGGAAGGAAGGAAGGAAGGAAGGACCTAATTTATGAAGAATTAATTGGCAGTGCGGGGTTGTTAAGAAAAAAGAAAAGAAAAAAAATCTTCCAGACCTGGTCTCTACCTTTGCCCCTCCTCCCGCTCGCCGCTCCCCCCTGCCCCGCGAGAAGTGGAGTGGCTTGGCTGCTGAATGCTTAAGCGAGGATGCCGGCAAACAGCTCCGCTTTCCCCGGATCGCGCGGTCTGGCTACTAAGCGCCAGGAAACAACTGTGCGGGGGGAGGGGGGGCGGCAGAGAGGTGATGTGCGCTGAAGGGCACTTTCTTTTCCGGCAAGGCAGGCAGGAAGGAAGGGAAGCGCTCGGGCTCCTCGCTCTTCCACCAAGCTGCCCCCTTAACTAAGCGTTTTCTTTTGAGACAGTCTTTGGCGCCCTGGCTCCGAAATATTGGGGTGTTGCGACGGCCAGGCTGCTGCAAACCCTTCAGGAGACACATCTCACGCTGTGCGTTTCAAAAAGGGCTCCCTAGCATTACCCCTCCGCGTAGTCGCAAGAGAGGGACGATCTGTGGTAAATAATAGCCGGAAACGGATTGTCCGCATCCATCCAGCAATAGCTTGATCAATTCCAGGGCAGGAAACTTAATTCGGGTGGGAACTGAACTCGATGGGCATTTCTTCAGAGGACGAATGTTTAGGATCGGGCTGTAAAATCAAAGGAACTATACAGTTCGGAAATGCTATAACAAACAACAACAACAACAACAACAGATATCAATAGGAAGCCTACGGGGATCTTTTTCATACTTTAAGGACATGCGATCCTAACTGGATTGAAGCTGAGGGCGCCGGTCCCAGGCGCAGCCTTCTGGGCAGGTCACTCCCTCTGAACTCGCGAAGAAACGGGGGCAAAGTTAAGGCCTCGATCCCAAGACACCCTTAAAGTGGTGGCCTCGGCATTTCGTTCCCGGTAAATACCCCGAGAACCCACCGCCCGAGTGCTTTGAGCCAAAGATGGGCCGGAGGCGCTTTACTTCCCCGGAACTCTGGCTGCGGAGTTTCCCCCCTCCGCCTATAACTGAGGAGGGTCGGATCCGAGAGGGTTTGGCCCGCCGAACAGGGCTCGCGTCGGCTCCGATCTCAGACCCCTTCCTTCCACGCTCTTACCCGGTGGGGGGGGAGGGCAGTGGGTGGATGGGCAAGACCACTTGCTTGGCAACGGTTCAGCTGATGAGGAAGCAAAATCGAGAAGGAGAAACCTCAACCAGCCGGGAAGGAGGGAAGTTTTTAGGCTCCAGTTCCCTTCCTTGAGAGGCCGCCCGGCTGACCTCCACGGTTTCTCCCTCCCTCCCCCCCCCCCGAGATAGCGCAGGAAGTTAGCTGGGGGCAAAGGAAGGGTTTCTAGAACTAGGAATGTGCCCACTGGCGTCGGAGGAAGGAAACGGACCGGCATCTGTCGCCCGAAAACTCTGAAATGTATCTTAATTTTGGCTTTCCTTTCCGTCTGCCTTTTATTTGGACCGACGCATCAGTAGACGGCTGGCAACTTAGTTACCTTCGGCCTGCAAGTTTTCTCTCGCCTTATAAAGTGGGGAGGGGGCAGTGAATTGTGAGGGCCTCTTTCTTGGTTCCTCAGAAGCAATCGCTCTCGGTTTAAAAAAAAAAAAAAAAAAAAACATCCTTTCACCCCAAGGAGTGCCGGCCACGTCTATCGACCTCCGGAGATCTCCCAAGAGAAGCCTTGCCCTTCTTCTTCCCCCTCATTCCTCAAGTCCCTGAACCTTGAGCAGCCTCCTAAAAGCAAGAACACCCGACCCCGTTGGATGTATTAGCACTCATTTAGAAGCAAGTGTATCTCGGGTTGCAGAGTGTCAGGGCAGGTCGTCAAGATCGCTCACGAAATACACGCGTTTAGGGCTGGGATAAAACAAAAGCAGGGGAGAACCGGTGGCTTTCAGACGTTGTAGCCTGTACTTGAATTCGCTTATGGACAAAGGCTTCTCCATGTCTTCGCTCAATAAAGCATAGCGCTTCCTGAGCTGGGTAAGGTAAACTCACTGGCCTTTCCTGTTGAAAGAAGATGTACTTTGCATCATTAACTTTTTATTTTTCTGCCCCTGAATTAAAAAAAGCAGCACAGTTCAATGGGATCAATATATAGCCACATATTATCTGAATAAGCGATCAAGAGAAATCCCTTTTTGATAGGCGAGCGCATGTGTCTAGGTGGCAGGTAAAGTCATAAAACAGTGGCTCTCACCAGAGCGAAAAGCTTGGTTTTAAAATGCTGCCTGTGTTTTTAGCAAGGATGGGTGTTTCGACGCGTAGAGCCCCTCGCTTCGCACGTCCTTGCAATGTGGTCGCTTTTACACCTGGGCTTCGTTTCATTTCCAGATTTGATAGGGATTCCCCCCCCCCTCCTTTAATGGGTGCGATTTTTCGTGTAACCACTTGGGGTCGCGCTTTATGTCCGTTTGGAGCAGAGCAGCGGGAGAAGGGGGAGGAGAAGAAAACGCGAGAGAGACTTAATCTCCCTTAATCGTTACAAAATGTTCAAACAAAAATACCGACGGTGACCCCCCCTCCCCCGAAAAAAAAACCTCCATACAGAATGAGGTCTTCTTTGCATGCAATAATGGAAGACAAGACCAAAAAAATAAAAATAAAAATCGCAGCCTGTCCCCAGGAGCGAAACGCAATTCTAATTCCACCCCTTCCAGCTTTCCTTTCATCTCAGCCAGGAACTTGTACTGCTGCTTTCCTTGTTCACTTTTAAAGCAATTCCAAATTTAGGATTTCTTTTCTATCCCTTACTCCAGCTTTTATTTTGTACAGTCACAACTTCGTTGCGACTGACAGAACAGGGGAGGCAACTCTCCACCTCTCCGGGCGCTCAGGGGGACATCCAGAAGTATGGAGAGAATTCAAGGGTAAAACCTTTCTCTTCGCCGTTTCTTTACCTCTGGGCCCGCCTTCACACACACACACACATGCGAGCGGGATCCCGCTTTCACTTTATGGGAACTTTAAACTCTCGCCTCCCTTCCGAAGGAGTAAACTGCCACATTTTTTATCATTATTATTATTATTATTATTATATTATTATTATTATTATTATTATTATTATTATTATTATTATTATTATTATATTGTTATTGTTGTTGTTGTTGTTGTTGTTATTATTATTATCATCCCCTTCTTTTCCTGGGCTGTAAAATCACTCTTTGCAGGCCAGGAAGAAAAGCGACCGCATTATTAATAACAAGAATCCCAATAACCTTTCCATATAATAGGTAGGAAGTAGGGCGGGGTATGTGTGTGTGAAAAAGAAAGCAGGGCCAAGGCACCTTTCCTAACTGCGGAGGGGAGCAACGGCCGAGCTGAGACTCGGGAAGATTAAAGCCACAAAGCACAACCAGCGCAGCTGGAACTCCGCTCCGCGGGCTTCTCCTCCAGCTGCTCGTCAGCTGACTGGCTGGGAGCTGTCACTCTCTTTCAAGAAAGGCCCCGCCCCCGGCTACCCCAGGAACTCAGCGTCCGAGCCGCGGTTGGTCGACGCGCTCTGCCGGCCCGGCCCCTTTGCCTGAGTGTCAGCGAGAAAAACAATATAAGGCACCAAGTGGGGAGGCTCGGGCGAATCACAGCTGTTCCATTCCAGCGCTGGAGGCTGAGGCTGAGAGCCGAGCGCGGAGGAGGTGGTGGGGCGCCTTCCCCCCCTTTCCTTCTTCCCCTCCCTCCCCTTTCCCAGCGCGATCCTGACGGCAGCCAATCACCCACCTTTCGCCAAGCTGCCGAGCGAGCAAAAAGTTGCTCGGGAATCGCCGCCGCGGCGGGCTGAAAAAGAGCCGGACTTACAAACAAAAGCAAGAAAGAGCCAGAGAGTTATAATTGTTTTTGAAACCCAGCGAAATATTCCCCCCCCCCCAAGGGGGAAGGGGGCACCGCAGCAGCACAGCAGCAGCAGCAGCAGCTCAATCCGCCTCGCAGGATTTTTCTTCCTTCTGCCAACGGGTTACTGGCCAGGAAAGCAAATCGGGCAAGCTGCCTTGCCTGCTCTTTTTTTTCTTCTTCTTCTTCTTTCTCTTTTGCACAGCGCTGCGGTCTCCGTTAGAGAGAAGGCGAAAGCAGCAGCAGCAGCAGCAGCAACCAGCAGAGCGGCCGCAGCCGCCTTGGGTGCGCGTGTCTCCCGGGTTGCCAGGCTCGGCGGCTCCCGGCCTCGGCGGCGCGCAGAAGCAGCAGCAGAAGCATAGAAGAAAAGTTTTCTTCGGACTGGCTGGCCGCGAGAAAGCCGAGGCCCTGGAGTGAGGGCGACGAAGCGGCGAAATCCTCCTGCTTTTCCCTCCCTCTCTCTCCTTCGCCGTCTTCAACCGGAGGGGAGGCGCTCCTACCGCTGCACGCCGCGATGGCTGCCGAGCTGAGCATCGGCCCCGAGCTGCCCACCAGTCCCCTGGCCATGGAGTATGTCAACGACTTCGACCTGATGAAATTTGACGTGAAGAAGGAGCCGCTCGGCCGATCCGATCGCTCGGGCAGGCACTGCACGCGTCTCCAGCCGGCTGGCTCGGTGTCCTCCACCCCTATCAGCACCCCTTGCAGCTCGGTGCCCTCCTCGCCCAGCTTCAGCCCCACCGAGCAGAAAACGCACCTGGAGGATCTCTACTGGATGGCCAACAGTTACCAGCAGATGAACCCGGAGACGCTCAATCTGACGCCGGAGGACGCCGTGGAAGCCCTCATCGGGTCCCACCAAGTGCCCCAGCAGCTCCAGAGCTTCGAGAGCTTTCGGGCCGCCGCTGCCCACCACCACCACCACCCCCATCATCACCCCCACCCCCACCCCCACCATCAATACGGAGGGATCCCCCACGAAGACATGTCCGGCGCCGGCCACCCGCACCACCACCACCACCACCCGCACCATCACCAGGCCTCTCCTACGCCCTCCACTTCTTCCAGTTCATCCCAGCAGATGCAGAACGCTCACCCTCCTCACCCTTCCTCCGCCTCCTCCTCTTCCGCCTCCTCCTCCAGCAGCGTGGAGGACCGGTTTTCCGACGACCAGCTGGTCTCCATGTCGGTGCGAGAGCTCAACAGGCACCTGAGGGGCTTCACCAAGGACGAAGTGATCCGCCTTAAGCAGAAGAGGCGGACCTTGAAGAACCGCGGCTACGCCCAGTCTTGCAGGTACAAGCGGGTCCAGCAGAAACATCACCTGGAGAACGAGAAGACCCAACTGCTTCAGCAGGTAGAACAGCTCAAGCAAGAAGTGACCCGGCTGGCCAGAGAAAGAGACGCCTACAAGCTCAAGTGCGAGAAACTGGCCAGCAATGGTTTTCGAGAGGCTGGATCCACCAGCGACAACCCGTCTTCTCCCGAGTTCTTCATGTGAGTCCTTAAAAAAACAAGACCCCTTACCCGCCCACCCATCCACCCACTCCCCACTCGCTTCCCTTCTCCCCCTCCACTGACATCTCCATCCATCTACCCTCCCGAGCAGCAGCGAGAGATTAAGGTTGAGAAAAAGTGTCAGAAGAATGACTGCGAGGCCTGGGAAGGGTGGGCTTCCTCCAGGCCGGGACTGTGGGGGAACCTCTGCGGCGGCAGCACCTTGTGTTTCTAGCTTAATTCCGAAGGGCAGAAGGGGAAGAAGGGTGCAACTTTTCCTCTTAATCGGGCCCTCTTGATAGCCAAAGGGGGCTTTGGGGGAGGGGAGAGATAGGTGGGGAGGGGGAAGGAAAGGCCTGGTAAAAGTTTTTTATACAACTTAATTGCTTGCTTGTAGAACTTTATCCTGGACTTTGCAAAACAAAGGGACGGGCACCGGACAAGCCATCTAGAATACCCACTTTGGAGTTCCTAAAAAACGGAAGAACACATGGCGAAGGGGGGAAGTGCATCAGTAGCCTGGAAAAGGAGCAAGGACAATATATGCAGGTTTTTCATAGATTGCCTGCTTTGAAAAAAAAGGGACAGAATTGAGATGGGACTTAACCATGTGAGCTAGTAAAATAGGAAAGGAAATTAAAGAGAGGGAGAGACTCCTCCTCAGTTTTATTGCCTGCTTGATTATATAGGAAAAAAAATACAAAAAAAATCTGCATTAAAAATATTAATCCTGCATGCTGGACATGTATGGTAACTTCTATTTTGTACCATTTTCTTGTTTAAGAATTTCGCATGTTGTTGATCATCGACCATACTTCTTTTTTTTCTGTTGTACTGTTGTTTGTTTCTTTGAATAAGAAACTGTCACAAATTCTATATAAAAACCCCTTCTTTTTACTTGCACATGCAACTGCTTGTTCTATCTCTCTATTAGCTTTATTTTTCTTTTTTAAATTTGGGAACTCAATCCACTAAGCATGTCTCCTGTGCAAGTTTCACAGAAATCAAGGAGGCCACTGCATAAGAGAACAGCTGGGGGTGGATTGGGCCCTCTGTTACCTTGTAAATATCAGCCACACCACATAAATCTGCACAGGGCAAAACACAAGAACATTTCAGCAGGCTGGTTTTCAGTGATCATTTGTTGCAGAAATAATAACCTACAAAATTCTGGGCATTTTTGCATTCAGAAAACATCCTTGTATATTCGGTGCACTTTTAAAAGCTGTAGGTTGTGGGTTTTTTGGTGGTTTTTTTTGTTAATTTAGTTTTCATTTTGGTTTTTGTTGGGGCAGAAAGAGATTTGCTTTTCCTCTTTTAATTCCCCAATCTTAATTAAATTACTTGGAGGTCAAGTATGCTGAAATTAAGGAGAGCTGATCTTCAGCTCTCTGTGACTAGAAAGAACCAAGTTCATTTGTATCCAGTTGGATTTAACTTCCAAGTAAGTTTGCTTATAAGTCACCTATTGAAATATTTTTTAAAAAAAATATTAATTGGAGAGGAATATAATTTTAAATGGCAACAATGGATAATTTCAGTGGCTGGGACTTGCTGCAGTCCATCATTCGTGACCCAGCATCTGCATGGGCCACCTGATTTTATTGCTGGCTCAGAAAAAAAGATTTGCAATTATTTTTCTCTCTTCTCCAAAGCAACAATTGGCTGCTTGGTTTCTTAACTAAAACATGAGTCAGTTTCACTGACTGCATCCAAGGCAGCTCATGTATTTTACAGTTAAGTTGATGCCTCTGTAAAAAAGGATGAATGAATTCATAATGCATAGGGGAAAAAACAACTTTCCTCTTTTAAAAAGGTGGTTTTAGCTTTGCAGCTTCCAAGTTTAGCTTTTGCAATGTTTAATCTGCTTTTTCACGCAGCCAGTGAGTGTAGCCAAAACTTTTAGTAGTTTGGAAATTTATGGGTGTTTATTATAATTATTATTTCTTGTGATTCCCCCCCCCCTCCTTTCCCCTCTTTTTTCCTCCTGCAGGTCAGTAAAAGGATTTTACGTTGCACTGACAAAAATACCAAAATGAAAACCTTTATTTTTTAGTTTCCTTTTCGAATTTGCTGGCACTGCTGGCCGGATGCATTTTGAGTTTGTATTAGTTTATAAATTAACAGTAATACCAAGAATCATGAAAAATGAAAAGCATGGTGCTTGCAGTTTTAAATATTGTGAATATTAATAGTCATGCATCAGAAAATACCCCTCTAAGCTTTGGGTTTTTATGGATTCAACTGTGTTGAAATCACAGCATTGCAGCAGCAGAAAATGTTTTTATTTCATGTAAACGTTCTGAAGGGATCAATTTCAAATCCTGCTTATGATATGAAAAATATTAAAAAAACACCTCTTGGTCTTATTGTAGTTTTATTCAGACTGGTTTCTGGTTTTTGTTCCTCTTGGTTATTAAAATTGTTTCCTATTTTTGCTTACTAATATTGACATGGCATTTTTTAAGGGTATACTTTTCTTGAGGGTTATTCTTGAATGTGGGAAATAAGGATGCTAATGAAGGCCATCATCACCAATCAGGCAAATTATACAGAGTTGCAAGAAATGCAGTTCAGGGCTTGATCTATGAACTGATTAACCCTCACATTCCTGAAACACCACTGAATTCCCTGGGCTTGTTTGGAAGCAAAGATATGTGCAAACTGTATTACATGAATGATAGCCCCACATATACAGGAGTTTGGTTGAAAGTTGGGGGCCTGAGATTATAATCTTATGATTAAGAAATAAGGCAAATCACAGGGGTAAATACTTTATAATGTAGACCATGGTAATGGTAGAATACACAGAAGGGGGGTGGGTGGGGAGGCAATGACCCATAATATTCCTCTTCTTCCTAATGTTCTAGCTTCTTTACATTTGGCAGGCCTTTCAATTCTAATGAGTTTTACCTGAAGGCCGAGGGAAGGGTCCTTGTATTTTCACGACAGCGGTTCCACTGGAAAGGTGTTGGGCACCTGGAGGAAATATCAACTTGACCTTGCTTGAGACGAGTGACAGAGGAAAAGAAATCCCCCAAAGCAGGCAGAGGTATTTGTGTGTGTGGTTGTGGTGTTCATTCTTTGCTTGGAGTTGCTTCTCCTCATTTCTACCCGCTCCCCTTCTGCTAAAGTCCATTTCTGTTTTAGGTCCAAGGTCTGCCTTCATCTGTTCTCCAATGGAGGATTCTACCTGAGCACAATATCACTCTCTAACCTCCGTCCCCACTTAACTCCCCTAACCAGCATCTCCTAACCAGCACCAGGTTTAAAATGGTCACCACACAGACTAGCTTCCCACCGAGGTCTGGGGTCAGTAGAGGCTCTGGTGTCCACTCTGAGCTCAATTGCCCGGAGCTTGAGGGGATAGTGAGACAAAGTTGCCGACATGAGCAGGCCCGGAAGTCCTTCGAGCGCACTTTTTTTGCGGGACAGATTGCATTCTTCCCAGCTTTGTTATTTTGCCCCCCGACACAATAACAACCGCAATCTTGAGAAGGACTGCATAGGTGGATAAAAATGCCAAAGCCTCTGGCTGACTGCGTGACCAACCATAATAAGTCACTGCCACCACAGCGGTCTAGGGTCCTAACATCTCTGTGGAGCTGGGCGTCCTGGCGACGCCTCTTTCCTGAGCAGCGAGCTTTTCCCGGTTCTTACCTGGCTCTCCAACAGGAAGGCAGGGATTTCGGTCTCTCTGGAAGTGTCGCTTTTCCAGTTTCCCTCTCCTCCGCCGGCCGGCTTCTCCATTAAGCCGCCAGCCTTGGCGGCGGCAACTACTACAATACTAAGAGCGGGAAGGGCCGAAAGGCAAGCGCTTAATTATGCTTTCCCCTCCCCAATTTCCCTCCGCCGAGACTCCGAGATCAAACAAACGAAGCGCCAATCGGTCAGAAACCGCGACCAGCTGGAGCCGAAGCCGTTTCAAGCAGTTATTTCCCGCCTTTAATTTCACCCAAGAGCGGTGCCCTCTGGCTGAAAGGAAAGGGGGCTCCGTCCCAGTTCGCCGACTTCAAGGCCGGCGGGCAAATGTGGGACCTACCCGGTGAGTGACACTGCTCTCCCCACCCCGCGCCCCCCCCCCCAATGAGTCCCGTGATTTTTGTCGCTCCGACTAAGCCACCTTCTCTGACCTTCGTCTTAGGAAAGAAACGCTGGGCACCTGAATCACCACACAAGATTGATGCCATTACAGATCACCTCGGGTCCTTAAGATGTCCCAAATCGCCCTTAGTTTGTCGGCCACAGACTCACAGGGTTGCCTTCGTGCAAACAAACAAACAAACAAAAACCAACAGCAGCAACAACAAAAAACCCAAACCAAACCAAAACAACTACTTAGTTTAGGATGATCTCGGTTTACTCAGCGAGGCGGCCGCTGAGAAACCAGCGCTCGGAAATCACCTCAGTTAGGCTGGTCACGATTCGCCCAGACCATTTTTACTTAATAGAGAATCTCGGAGTCTAGTTCAACTCCCGGCGATTCCCGGACCCCCAACTGGCAGCGGTAGGGTTGGGTTGTCCCAGAATAAGGGGGTGGCCACAGCGCTCAGCCTGGCTAGTGCAATCTGCAAGAGCTAGCGGGTCGCTGGACGCTCCAGTGGGAGACAGGCTCTCCCTCACTTTCAATTTTTCCCCTCCAGGTTGGGGGAGAGCTCTGGGGAGGCAGGGGAAAGATTTTGTGAGCAGTGAAACGGGTGTGTGTGTGTGGGGGGAGGGTTGGAGAAGCACACCGCCGTCCGTGTCCAACTTTAGATTCATTGAGCTCCTGCAGAGGTGGGCGCAGCTAGCAATGAGCTGTGGTCAGCAGTGGTTTAGGAAAAAAAGCACGGAGGGCAAGAGCGAGGCCAGGATTAGAGAGGGAGCCCTTCTTACCCTACGGAGGAAGGCACGCACGGCCAGTCGGAAGGCCTAAGAGGAATATTGTTCGTGGGAACTGCCACCGCATATTAATGTCCTCTCATGCGTGCATTGAATACATCACAGAAGCTAATTGAGCAATCTGTCCCCCCCCCCAACCGGCCCCGCTTTTTTTTTTTTTTTTTTCCTACCGGGGAAACTGGGCCTCAGAAAAGCACAGGAGGGCCTTTTGGCACCCGGACCGCTTTCGCGAAACTGTGTCAGCGGGTGGGAGGGCTGCAGGGCACACGAGAGCCCCCTTTGCATCTCTGCCCTGGACACGTTTCAATTCCTTCTCACACTGCACGCCAAAATGCCGGCGAAATTGGACCACTGAGGTCAACGGCCCGTTAAAGGAAAGGGAAAGCCCAAACAGGGTTATGATTATCGGGATGGAGTTGAACTCATTTGTTTGACTGCCTTGAAGGAAAGGAGCGTTCCCGCTGATCCTGTCGAAAGCTGAAGCGCACTTTGAATGAAGAAGTCCAGGCCAGGCTGGAGAAGCCAGGAATGCGGGCTTCCCCACTTGGGGAAAATTGGTTGGGCCCCGCGATGAGGTTTTGTACATGAACGCAGGGAAGACATAATGCGAGCAACCAAATAAAAGCTACCCTTCTTTTCGTTGGAGGGTTGTGTGAAGTCTCTGGGACCGACAGTGCTGGGCAGATGTTAATGGCTCATCCCTTGAAGTGCCCGGACTGTGTGTGTCTAAAGCAGTGTTTCTCAATCTGGGCAACTAGGGGAGGACTCCAACTGGACAACTGGAAGAGGGTGGAGTTGCAGTCCACCCATCTTCCAGTTGTCCAGGTTGGGAAACACTGAATTAGAATAAGGTTGATTTCTGAGAAAACACTGCTTGAACTGTCAGCCTGCATGCAGATAGTTGGGGGCCATTTCGAAATACTCCCCCGCCCCGCCATCAAAGTTGCTGTCCGCTTCCCAAAGCAGAGGGAGAAGTGAAACTTTAAACTGGCGGGGCGGCCGGGTGTGTTTTTCTAGAAGCCGGGCGTGTTCCGGCGAAATAGGAAAAGGAAACGGAGGGGAGGGCCGCCAGGTTTGGGCTGCGTAAATCGGGACGAACCCTAGATGGCAGCAAAGAGCCAGGGACTTCGACATTCCTTTCCAGCAGCGCAACTGCCGCCGGGAGATTTGCAGCCCAAATCTAGCAGCCCGTAAAAGTTTTCTTTCTTTTCCAACCTTCCTTTTGCACGCGACGGAGCACTCGGGGGCTGCAAAATCGCAGAAGGACTACAAAAGCGAAACGTGTTGACGGGTGGAAACGTGCTCTTGAAACAAAACACAAACACAAGCGCACCCACCCACAGATCAATTGTCGGCGTTTGAGTAACTCTGGGAAAGGGTCCCGGCAGGTAGCCCAAACCCAAGCCCAAACAAAGAGGGCTTATTGTTCAGTAATTGAAATTTCAATCAGGAATCATCCTGGGCGATTCAGATCAATCCAGTTGGGGGGGGGGGAAGGAGGCAAATATCACAACTCTGTTTATTCCGACCGAGATGGTTCCGTACCGATTTGATTCCGGACCGGGACCGGGACAGCTGTGGTTTGTAGATGCGTTGCGTAAAACCAGGACGGAAGGTGAGAGTTAGAGGCGTCGAGGTGAGTCCTTCACAGAACCATGCTGCCACCCCCCCCCCTTCCTTCTTCCTTGAGGCGATTCGATTTACAACAAGCAGCTTCGGCTCCCCCTCCCCCCCAATAGCTAGCCGGTCCTGTCAGGCTTCACTCACCTTTCTCTTGGCAGCCTCCCCCTCCTCCCTACCTTTCAGCAGCGAGAGGGTTAAATGTGCACCTCCCCCTGAATAGGCTTGGGCGGGCCTTTAATGAAAGTGAGGCACGCTGACTTCCAGCTGAGCCTCCATTCAGCAGGATTGTTGACAGAGGCAGCCACTGGGGGAAAGAAACAGGGAGGCACAATTCTCACTTTCTGGGCTGGCGCCCTCGCCAAGCGTGGCACAGGTAGTCCTCAACTTACGACCATGAAGGAACCCCAAATTTATGTTGTTAAGTAAGATATTTGTTAAGTGAGTTTTGCCCCATTTTACAACCTTTCTTGCCTGGGTTGCTAACCTGAATCACTGCAGTGGATAAGTTAGTAACCTGGTTGTTAAGTGCCAAAGGTGATCACATGACCTTGGGACACAGCAACAGTCATAAATATGAACCAGTTGCCAAGTGACTGAATTTTGATCACGTGATCATGGGGATGCTGCAAAGGTCATAACTGAAAAACCGTCATAAGTAATTTTTTTCAGTACCTTTGTAAGTTTGAATGGTCACTAAATGAATTATTGTAAGTCAAGAACTGCCTGTACTTTGACCAGTTAGTCACATAAATGCCCCTTTCCAATTATATATCCTTGGACATTGCAGGTCATACTTCCAAGATATTAATACAGGCCTGGCTGTGAATTAATGAAAGAATAAATAAAAGATATACCTGTGATACAAAACAGGAAAAA